GGTTCCACTTCAGTCCAGTACCTGTTTAGTCCAGTACCTGTTCAGTCCGGTACCTCTTCAGTCCAGTACCTGTTCAGTCCGGTTCCTTTCGGTCTTGTACCTGTTCAGTCCAGTACCTGTTCAGTCCAGTACCTGTTTAGTCCAGTACCTGTTCATTCCGGTACCACTTCAGTCCAGCACCTGTTCAGAAGTTTTTCTTTATTTAATCTTGAACCCTGAACTCTTTTAATCATCAAACTCTTTTTATTTGTCACATTAAGGAGCAAAGAATCAGTTTTAATTTGAATCTTTAATCTGTTCGTCACCAGCACAAGGCTTCTGTTTTCATTAATAATGTGGGAAATGTTAAACAGTTTTGAAGAAAGTGTTTTAGTTTGTCTTTATATTTAAAAAAAAAAAACAGTTCCCAAACATTCTGGAGAATTGTATAAAATGTGTTTTTCAGCTATAAAGATATATTTGTCAGAAAACATTTAGAAGTGACAGAACAGGATGTTCTGAAAATATTTTACTACTGTGAAATATTTTAAAAAGATTTTAGTGTTTTCAGATTTGTTAACTAATAATAAATAATTTTTTATTTAAAGGAGTTGGCGTTCTAATCAACAGACGTGTGCTGACATACTGTCTGTAATCCTTAGAGCCAAATAAACATTTTCTGTTATTTATGCTGTGACACATTTAAGGGACGTTTGGACCTGGGGAAGTCCACACAGGAAGTTAATGTTGTTTTTATTTATCTGAATACACCTGTGGAAATAGTCCAATAATCTGTATGTTGAAGGTTTTTACTTTGAAGTACGGTAGTCTCCTCAAAAACAAGTTCATAAATTTACCCCTGACATCAAATGGTTCGACCCATCAGAACCTGGGTCTCTGTGGATCTGAGCTTCTCTCACTCCTGCCTCAGCTTTGTTGGAGAACGTCAACAGCTGCTCCAGGCTCTGCCGCTCAGCTGAGACCATGACGTGGAAACTGTAATGTCCCCATCCGCTGCATGGTGATGAATACAACCGACGAGTCAGAGGTCCAAATCTTCACCAGCTCTCCGGTTCTGGTGGTTATTACTGAACATGTTGGTCTGAACATAAGGACATTTCATTTAACAACAAAACTGTTTACATCTTACTATTCCCCTCTATCCCCACATGCCCATCTGTTTCCACATGTCCCATGTGTCCAAACATGTCCCATGTGTCCCTACATGTCCAGGTGACAGTATCATATTCTGGAGTACACATGGGCAGCATATGGCCCGAGGGCTGAAAGTGGCCCTTGGACAGTCTCCATCTGGTCCAAAATGTCCTTAACTGAAAAAGAAACAAGTTTGAAATAAATTGAGAATTTTAAGGAAGTCTAACTAGTTTTAAGTCAGCAGGTGTGTTGTCTCGCGCCTGTTTACAGGAGGTATTTCTTATACAGTAGTCCCTTGATTATTGCAGGGGTTACGTTCCAGACACCACCGCGATAGGTGAAAAACCACAAAGTAGCAACGAAATATTTATTTTAATATTTGTATATACTTAAGGCTTTATGACCCTTCCCACACTCTTGCAATGTTCTAAACTCTTAAACCTACGTCATTTTAACAACATACATATGTGGGCAGTACAGTACTGCAAAATTTTATATGGGTACTCACCAGCTCTGCAGAACAGCTGCTCGGTTCCCGTCGGGCTCGGTTCCGGTTCGGCAGACCTACCCTGCAGCGACGAAGCCCACCACCCCATCCAGGTTGATGTGCACGTGGATAATTGAGCTTCAGGAGTATTTGCAACTTTCCTGCCAGTTCTTTGATCTTAATAGATAAATCGTTACTTCTGACTTTGCGTTGAAAAACAACCCCTCCATTTCAGCAGGAAGCAGCGGTCGGAAGCACTGTTGGCTTCTGGGTAGTGTAGTTTTTTTGACTGGCGTTACAGTTTAGGTTTATTGAAAGAAAACTACAAAATGGCGTTGCCTGTCCAAAATATTTTTTCCTTAACTTTTTATCTCGTACCGTCCCAATCACTTGAGTAATATTAAAACTGACAATAGTTGAAAAACTGCTAAAGAGCGAGTCCGCGAAAGTCAAACCGCGAAGTAGCGAGGGACTACCGTAGAGGGGATTGTGGAGACACATTTTAAAGACCATTTTGGACTAAAGAACGTGTCTGATTAGAAGTGTCTTTGTTTTCTGAAGTTTTTCAGTCTGTGCTTTCTGGGTTCTGCAGGAGTTTGTTCGGGGCCTGTGTGACCCTGAGCTGCAGAAGGAGGAGCGTTATCCCGTGGACATGCACTGCATCTTTGCCGGTTCCCAAGGCCTCTTCCTGGACCGTCTTGTCCGGGACACGAGCGCGGAGGTTCTCGTGCCTGAGCCGGGCCACCTGTGGCTGGTGGGCCGAGCTGAGCCTGTGGTGATGGCTCAGAGCAGAGTTCAGCAGTTTGTTGCTCTGTTCCAAGTAAGTTTCCTCATGTTATCAGAAACGGTTCTGTAAGAACTGGTTCTGTAATAATGTAAAATGTAGAGTTTAACTAGGAGAACATTCATTGTTTCATGCTGGTGTTAAAGCAGCATTTACACGTTCATAAATCCAACCCTTCATCTCCCACAGGAAGTTTTGGATCTTTAATACATTTGTACTTTTTAAAATTCAAACCCTTCATCCTTTTTCTAATCCAGCTCAGCTGCATATTTTCTCCTAACAACCTGCTGTCTCCTTGTCCTTTTTCCGTTTTCACGTCCTCTCATGTGCACTGATTATTTTGTCTTTTTGGTCATCTGGACGGTTTATTTTGTTGCTGAGACGTTTTGTCCTTCATCCGAAGGACTTCTTTAATCTGAGGAGCCACCAAACCAAACTCAATCCCACAAACAGCCCACTCACAGAGTGGAAAAAAACAGTTTGCTGGTGATGAGAGGGCTTCTGGGACCCGCCCTCTCCCCCGTCAACTTCTCTAAGGCAGCCATGCCAAAGTGAGTAAGTCCTTAGGATGAAGGATGAAACATCTCAGCAACAAAAGAAACCGTCCAGATGACCTGACTGAACAATGTTGGATTTATACCTGGATTAATGAGCATGAACTTTGGTGTTTTGTCTTTTTGTTTGTCCGTTTTGTTTTCTGCTGTCCCCATGTCTTTTTTTTTTTTTTTTTTTGTCTTTCAATTCAATTCAATTCAAAAATACTTCATTAATCCCAAAGGGAAATTATTTGTTGTTGTAGCTCGTTATCCTCATTTCATTAAGAGATGTTATAGATGCTGATGGCTGTAGGCAGGAAGGATCTCTAGTAAAGATCCATCCCACAGTGGATCCTAAGAAACTGGCTGCAAATGCTGTCCGATCCGCCCACCCAGACTCGGCTGGCCTCTCGGTTCTCCCGGGCTGTAGGACCACCTGAATGCCGGGCAGAACTCCTCCCAGAGCGATGGCCACTCCTCCCAGCAGTCTGCCGAGCTCCTCGTCGCTGTGGACAGCCAACTGTATGTGCTGAGGGACGATCCCGTCCTTCTGCTGTCATGAGCCGTGTTTCCTGCTAGTTCCAGGATCTCAGTGGTCAGGCACTCGAGCACAGCTGGCAGGTAGATGAGAATGCGTCCACAGAACATCCTTTTCAACTCATTTGAGATTTGGGGCTGTAGTTGAGATATTATTTGAGCGTTTGAGACGTTAATCAGCTGCTGTTGGTTGTAGAAAACTGTCTTGTTGCCATGGTTACGCATCATAACAAATGTCCAAAACTAAAAAAGTTTCAGTAAAAATCCTTTGAGCTGCACAGCATCTGATACCAGAGGAAACAATCATCCAAAAAATGTGCTTTGCATTCAGCAAAAGAGGAATTAAAGTTTCCAAAAGCAAAATCTCAGAATGAAAGTAACAGAGTTGCTCCAACATGCAGCCACCTTGAGCAGCTCAATTTCTATGTCTTGTACGTTTCTGTCTCTTCGTGCTTTAAAAAATGTCCTGTTTGTCTTCCTGTTTTTTGTTGTCTTCTTTAAATATTTAAACTTAACCATTTTAAAAAATGTATTTATTGACTGTCTTGAAACCTGACCTTCAGTGTTTGGAGTTCATGGTCAAACATACAAACAGGTTCATTTGCTGCTTCTCTTCGGCTCTTACAGACGTTTTGTTCATCTGTACCGTGAGAAACGGTCTGCTCATATGTGTTTGTGTCCAGGAGAAGAGAAGTCTGCCGAGTGACCGAGAGTCCGCCGTGAAGCGAGCCTTCAAGTCCTTCGTGGAGGAAAGGGACGATAAATACACCATGGAGCTCCTGCTGCTGCCCAGCGCCCTGAAGGAGGAGTTACTGGGACTGGTGCACAGCCCCCCGAGCACAACCACACCTCCTCAGGTAGGAGTTCTCCTGGTCAACACCACCTGGGAAACCAAGGTCTTGAGAGAATGCATATCGCCCACCAACGTGTATGCAGAGTTCTAAACAAAGATCTGTTGGCGCTCAGAGGATGACTCTCGGCTACTACCACTCCAAACTTCAGCTCATTCTGTCAAACGGACTCAATTTCAGCTCTTTTAGTGTTTCCTAAGTTTGATGAGGTCGTGACTCCAACAGTTGACGGTTGTAGATGTTCAGCCAGTGATTACTTCCTGAGAGTCATTAATATCCATCCTCTGGTTCATGAGATATTTTGCTAACGGATAAATTAACACAGGCACAAGAAATTACATGCTCACCCGCCTTCATGAAAAGCATGTTAAAATTAAATTTATTTCACAAATCTCATAACAATCCTATGATTGATCGAGATTTATTTCTTGCTTTGTTCATTTTCTGCTATTAATTAGTTTAAAAGAATTTATTATTTAAACCAGCAAGACTTTTGTTGTTTTGAATAAGTTTGAGATTTGTGGGGTTTTATTTCAGACTTTGTGATTACATCTTAGTCTTGAGACGGTTTTTATTTACTGTGCCATTTTATTTATTTTTATCCGATTTCAAAACTTCAGTTCATCGTTATTCAGTCACACTCTGAAACATTTGAAATTGACTATTTACGGATCATTTCAAAGTTGTTGATAGTTTGACACTCGAGTTACTAAAAGAAAACAGTTTCAACAAACTGACGAACAGACCGAATCATTACTGATTCCTGACGATTCTGTTTGGATTCTGGTGCCCAGGTGAGCCAGGCGCTGCATCCCAGCATGGCGGAGGCTGACCAGGACCGCTCACAGAGCAGCACGCCCGTGACCGAGCTCTCCAACCGCATCCTGGACACCACCTTCGATGAGAGAGGATTTGCTCAGGGGTCCGCCACCGGAGGCAGTAAAGCAGGAGGGGGGATCGGTTTGGGTCCTGAGGTGGCTCTACCCACCCGACCCTCACACAAGCGGCGCTCGTCTGAGAGCGAGACTCGAGACACAAAGAGACAGTACTCTCTGGAACGCAAGGAGGAGTCTCCTGAGAGGACGGCGAGGGAGCGCCCGAGGGACCGGGAGTGTCGGGGGGGCGGCAGCAGCAGCTGTAGATCCAAAACCCCCTCGGCTTCTTCAACACTCTCCTCTTCTACTAAATCACACACTGTGTCTGGTCCGATCGCACGGGAGTCCGCTGAGGCCGGCTCAGAGGACGGAGAGGCTGTGAGCCCTGAGACAAACCTCCGCTGCCTGGTGAACTTTTTCAGGTAAATCTCTGCAGGTCCACGTCCAAGTTTGAAACAATGAAGCCATCTGATGCAGCTCAGAGGATGTGCTAGGGATGACTTTCAGCTACTACCACACCAAACTTTAGACAAATATCTGTCAAACTGACCGACTGTTTGATAAAGTCTTAGCTGTGAGTGCCATCTTGAATTGAGTTAAATTCAAAGGTTAATCAGCTGTACATACAAAGATTACTTTCTGAATGTTTCATTTAAATCCATCCAGCGGTTCATGATATTTTGCTAACAAGACGCACTCCCTGATAATTACATGATCTCCCGTCTTTAATGGTGGCATGTGATGGTACTGAACAAAATGCTTCAGGGGTATAAATGGATTGGTTATGTTTTGTATTAAAGCATAGAAGAACAGTCAGAACCAAATGAGTCAGATTATATTTTATGTGTATTACAGTTATCGTGTCCAAAACAGTTTAAAAACAAAACAACTGGACTTCTGTTCTGAAGCTGGAGACGTTTCTCCCATCCAGGAGCTTTCTCCGTTCAGAACTGAAGTGTGGAGCTCCAAGCTTAGCTGTTGATTCACTAAACTCACAAGCAGATTAATCTCCCTGCCCTCCCTCCTGAGGGTCATTAAGGTCTTTGTTAGCCGACAGATGTTTTGGTCACCTGTATGAAGGAGTGAATCTGAATTAAAGGTCTGTTCACATTTGTTGTTATGGAACTGTTTTGGGGTAATTTGACTGCTGTGGTCACAGTGTGCAGCTAAAGATGGACGTTGGCAACAACTGTGAGGAGGCCCAACTGATGGCGTATCACGCCCAATGCTCCATTGCAGGTTCAGGAAAGCTGAGACCTCCTCCTAAGTTACGCTTCCATCACTCCTCCCTCAAATCATCTGTCCTCTATGTCCAACATATGAACATTCTGGTCCTCAAAAGAAGACATCTTCACAGACATTTAAAAACAAGAAGGTCTCACTTTAACTACTGTTGTGACAAACGCTCCAACATTTGGTCTGTTTTTATTTTGCAGGACCATGGGCTACCAGCAGGACGTGGTGGAGCGCGTGATCAAGGCAACAGGACAGACAGAGGACACCTTCCTGCTCCTGGAGAAAATAGTTGAGGAAACAAAACGCTGTGAGCCGGGACTGAAATCAGAAGAGAGGAACAGACTGTTGAACTCAGTGTGTACTGCAGACACCTCCTCCTCATCATCAGCCTCCTCCACAGTCTCTCGCTTGAGGGACAAGGAGTTTGACAAAGCATTAGAGGACCTGGGGAGGTCCAAGGAGAACATAAAGCCCAGCCATCACGGAGACAGCAACAATGGGTTGGGTCATCGACGGCAGTGCAGCGGCAGCGAGAAGAGCACTCAGCAGGTAGTTCACCTCCCAACAGGTAGTCCACCTCCCAACAGGTAGTCCACCTCCCA